CTAAATAATTCTTTTACTTTTTTTATTTAAGATACATACTTTAAATAATGTTTTTTTTAAATACGACCGATTCCTGATAAGCAGAAGTCGGTAAAGTAACTGATATAACCTATTTAAAATAACAAATATAAAATAGATTCCAGAAACACGACTTATTTAAAATGAATAATATAAAATAGATTCCAAAAACATATTTAAAATATTAAATATAAAATAGATCACAAGAAGCTATTTAAAATAATAAATACTAAATAACTCTTTTACTTTGTTATTTAAAATACTTTAAATAATGTTATTTTAAATACGACCGACCCCTACTGGTTACATAAATGCCTGAATTGCGAAAATTTGATTGAGTTTCATCTCTTTCGATGATTTCAATCAAGGTTAATATTAAATTAAGAGCCAAATCATAAAACTGCACTTCACATTCTTCTAAACAAATGTCTCGTGCAACATCTCTTCCAGTTATCACAAGCCAAGTCTAAATTAACTGAAGTATCTACAAACGAGAGGAATTCCAGCAATTTTAAGACGGCTTTGTAACAGAATGCTCGCGAAAAGTCGCATCTCGTAACGAGTTTCTATTCTCAAAGTGTGATTGTGGTCGACTTTCTCTTGGCAAGTAATTAAGGAAGATTACCGATAATAGTTCAGAGGCCAGTCAAAGCGACGCTGCAACACTTGACAAAGGAAATGCAAAAGCGTGACACGTTCTGCACGTGATGTGCATCTCTCAGCTGTCTGCAATGTAGTAATCCTTTGTACTTGCATGTCCGACATGCGATTACTCTATTCGTTGCTGTTGAAACGTCTACGCGTGAAATAAGCGCGTTTTGTAAACGATGCCGAATAATATGTTCACAATTAATTGCATTTGTTATAGTATATAAATTATATTTTATCTTAAATAATTCACATTTTACGTCTGTTTAATTAAAACGATACCCACGTACGACACGCGATAAATCTAATGCTCTAAATAGGCAAAAAATCTAAAAATATTTACGTCCCCTTATATCTTGTATCCTCTCTTTCCATGTCCTCCTTTTATCGCACCGTGATTGATCTTCGAAATTCGATGAAGGTAATTGAAGTAGCAATAATTCCAGAAATAACGTATATTAATAGGAATGAAAGTGACGCGATTCAAGATCTGTGTGCACAAATTGAAGATAATGCCGATGATATACATAACGTGCAATGCACTTCATTAACGAATATATATCTGCAGTATATATCCCTTATACACGTCTCATCATGACGCCCGGTGTTCCTTTTGATTAACGTAATTTATCGCTCGACCGTGTTTAGCAAAAGCAAGGGGCAAGGCGCTCCAGAAAATCGAAGACGCAGAAAATCGTTCGGACAAGCGAAAGCGTTCACACGCTCGGCTGACGATGTAACTCGCCTTGGCGAACCGGCGCGGCGCGCGAGTCATATAAAAGTATACGAACGTCCTCCAAGGACCGGTTTCAGAAAACTACTCCGCACATATATCGCTCGGCGCGGCAAACCTTTCCCCGACATCGAGATGCGCCCGCACCTGAGCAGGTGCAACACTGCAAGCGAACAACATTCGTCACACCTCGAACGAATCAATTCCAACTTTTAGATGCATACTTGAGATAATTATTTTTGTTACGCTGATACTGCTTGCTGATATTGCTTGCTATAGGTATAAGAAAAACGTATGCAGAAGCATTTATAAATATTGTTTTATTTTTCCAGGGAAACGCAATAAAAATTAATCTCTCCAAAAAAAAACAGCTTTATAACAGTCTATTTTTAAATATACAATTTATTAAGTTTATCGTGTAAAACATGATAGATAAAATCTACAAAGAATTCGAAGCTATCGAATTTTAATCCTCTCTTCTTTCAGTATTCAACAGAATGTCTATTATCACAGTAATCTGTTTATTATTATAATATCTAGTTTCATATTAAAATGTGTAGGATTCTAACATTCGACAATTATTAAGATATGATATTAATGTAAAGTAAATTTTCTATTATATTACAATATTATAAAATATATCAAAATATTTTATTTACAGTATTCTGTTAATCGGTTGGCTGGGAGATTCAGTTTTTTTCGGTATAGTCGAGAGCTAATTAGATATTGCACAAGACTTCCGTGCATGTTCCCCGAGTGAACGTCGACTATTCAGAATCCGAAGGAAAATATGACTGCTGATATGCAGACAATGTCGACCACAGCACATTTAAAAGTTCCGTGATAACAGAATGCCATGGCGTACAACTGACGCCATGGTATAATAACGCTGACAGAATCGCGGAAACTGCTGTGAGATGCACCCAGGACTGTACTGCACATTAGAAGCGTATACGTTCGAGGAGATAAGGAAATTATGGCGGTTAATTATTACCTCGAATACATATCGCGTTCGCTTTAAATCTCCTTGGTGCGAATCTAATTCAGGAGAATTAAAGGAATAAATTAGCAGCAATTGGTTCAGTTGTTTTAAATTAAAATCATTTTAAATGTTTTTAAGAAACAAAACTTTATATATTTTTTGAACACTGACAAGGGGAAGGCTACGTCAGTATATCACGGATCCTGATCCCAAATTTTTTGGTGAAACTATGGGCAAAATAAAGATATAGTGTCCGAGCGTTTGATTGAATGGGCCTTAGTTTTGAATAAGACTTTTCGAAATATTGTTGAAATTTAAAGGACGCCATCGCGCGTCGCCGCGCACCTTATAAGCTTCCCCGATAAACTCTCTCTCAACCGGTCCGGCATTAAAGGGCTTGCTTTTCAATCATTTTCAATGTTTAATCCCTGGATGTTGCAATTTTTTTTTAATGCGTGTTTTTATTTTTTTTTATTTTTTTATTGCTGATATTGTAATGTACGATTTTTTTACATAAAAATTGTATTTTTTCCCAAGCATTATTATAACCGATATTGAATAAAAGAAATATTATTTCGCTTTTTATTATTGAATATTGAATATAAATATTGAATATTATTATTTAAAAATTGTAATAAATTAAATTCGGATAATATTTCGAAAATTCTTACTCGAAAACTAAGGTCCATTCAATTAAACGCTCGGACACTATATTTTTATTTTGCCTCTAATTTCATCAAAAAAATTGGGATCAGAATCCGTGATATACTGACCTGGCCTTCCCCTTGTGAGTCCGATTTAACGAGTTTTTTTTTAAGATTAGCTATCACATAGAGGAGATAAGAAAATTGTAGCGGTTAAATATTATCTCGAATATATATCGCGTTTACTTTAGAGCTCCTTGGTGCAAATCTAATTTAGGAAAACTAAAGAAATAAATTAGCAGCAATTGGCTCGGTTGTTTTAAACTAAAATCGTTCCAACTGTTTTTAAGAAACAGAACTTCATATATTTTTTGAACACTGAGTCCGATTTGACGAGTTATTTTTAAAAAAGATTAGTTATCACATATAAAAAGTTGTCACATATGTCACATATATACATATATATGTAATATTTTAATAGTTGACATTAAATTTGTTCTTTCAATTATATCTTGAATTAAAATTCTTAAAAGTAAGAACTATCTAATTTTAGGTAGACACTGAGATTTTGTTATTCAATTAAAACTTAATTCACGACTTAATTATTTAATTTAGAATTCATTAAAACCAAAAAATTATTGATATTTTAATAAAGGAAGTCAAAAAGCTTTAATTAAAATTAAGCTCCAGGACATCCTACGCGTGCAATGTATCGACAAGTATAAATGTTATTCGAAGAAAAATTACTTTTTTAATAAATAGTTAAATACAGCTGGGTCCAAGCTTCCTCGAAAATTTCGCTCAAGCACAATAATGAGTTCTGAAAAGTTACCGAGGAATTTCATTATGGCCCCGATCCGTCGCAAATTTCTTTGGAAAATTTCTTTGTAGCAACGACGCCGCATAAATTCAGTTAGCTTCGTTTCTGTTCGCCGATAGAAATTCTGCGAGGGCAGCGCGCTGGCGTAAAAGGGCCGATATTAGAGGGCAAAGTGCTACGAGAATCCTGCGTGACTCTGTACTTTTCTTCGGTAACTGCACCACGACGAAGCATTTTTCTCGATTGACCGTCTCGTGAGAGTTTAATAGGGGCAATATAAAAGTTTCTCTCTATACGTCCGCTTGTCCGAGAAACACGATGACGCGCATTAGTGAGTATTGAAGGAAAAAGAAGGGAAAATAAAAGGCGCGGGAGCACCTTCTTATTTACGGCTTTTTATAGGCAAACTTCCAATCGTTCTTTAACGCGAAATTGTATAAAATACAATATGTTGTACGTTTATTGTGATAATCACCGTTGCTGATAATTCTACCTTTTTTGACATCTGTGTAATTTTTGTTGCGATAATTCCAACAATTCCAATAAAATCCAATCATCCGTATTTTCCACGTCAATATATTTAATCTTAAAATATCTTAAAATATTAAAACAAATTATATACCGTTGACTTTAACGACTTATAAAGTATGTTTCGAAATAAACGCTTATCCGTCTGATAAGGTTTAATTTAATTTTTGTCGCAGCTTCGACACGAGAGGGAGGGACAGCCCGGATCATGGGAATCACTGGCAGGATCACAGCCTAGAAGGACGCGCGTTCTTCAAGCACTCCGAAACCCCCGCGAAACTCACTCTGGAAAAGGTTCGCGAGAGCGACGCAGCTGTTTACAGATGCAGGGTCGACTTCAAGCAGTCGCCGACGCGCAACAGCAAAGTCAATCTAACGGTCATCAGTGAGTTCCTAAACGATATTCCGCATTGACCTGAATATAAGATGTGCTCGACAATAAAGGGAAGCGAGGCACGTTCCTTTGTAACTTTCTCAGGACCGCGGCGCGTTCCTTTGAATACATATTGCTTCTACACTCCTTATTTCCACACGTACCTATCTGATAATTCCGGTAACGATAACGAACAACAATCTAAATAAGAAATCTAAGAACATTTGGAGAAAGCATGTATCGAGAAACGGTTTTCGATACAAGAAAAGCGTATTCTTGACTTTTCTCATAAACAACACACAGCTGCATATTGCGCGCGGCGATTTAAAATTTAAACTTTCGGAGCGTCCGTCCTGAAATCGCACGACGATAACGATAAAACAAATTACCATTTTCAAAGTGGCATGCTAATTCAGAAATAGGTAATTTAAAAATTCAATACGTAACAAGAAATTTAAAATTGTAACAGAATATGAAACAAATATAATAGATATATTATATTTGTTTCATATTCTGACTGATAAGTCAGCAAACCGAAGGGATTCCTTTTTGGCTTGCAATCAACGAAGTCTTTAATATGTATAATTCACTGTGATAATCATTGAAAATTCTTATAGTAATTTCAAAACACGAAATTATATGACACACCTTCCGGGTTATGTTGACCACTTTGATATTTTGCGCTCGCCATATCTAATATAATCGACACCGTTATCGTCGAATGGCTGGAATCCGACCGATAACCTTACGCGCGTTCTCAAAACAGTGCACCGGCTGCATTTGACTTTTTCTTTTGCATCGCATTGGAGTAACGTTTCGCTTAATGGAAGAACAGTTACGTGACCGTGGCCGATAATACCGAGCGGATAGACACACCCAGCCCCTCCGCTCCATACCGGTACATTAAAATTTATTTTTTATCTTAGAAATAACACCTGCCTCCCTCTTTCCCCTCCCTTAATGGTAAAGGCGGTACGTGACGGCGCAGACTGATACATCGTTGTGCAAATTGATTCGCCATGGCGCGCCAGCACTCGCACGCCAACGCGAATATTAAGTAACGTTATTTTAGTAGTGTGGCGAATTTTTCTACTCATGGGGTAAGTGCTGATTGTAATATACATTCGCGAGAGCCTAACTTGAGGTTTTTGATCGGGAAAGATAAATATATTTCTAATAAAGATTTCAATTATTCAAACAATTAATTTCTAAGTCCATCTTTGAAAGTAATTTAATAATTTAATATGTATGACATTTGCACATCTATTTTATTATTTAGGTTTTTCTCTTTTTATTTTATACAAAATCTGTTTTATATATTATAAAGAGGGGACAAGCGTGTCTAAGGCATAGTTTTATCTAAATTTTTTTCTGTGGATGGCACTATTACGAAGATGAGATTGGAGTTTCGAGAGAAATTGATAACAATAATTACCGCCATTCTCTGAACTTCATTAACACTTTACGTGCTAGCAAGGTATCTGACTACGCCGTCCGCATACTTGCAGTTTTTGCGGCTAACGTACACTTACATTTAGAATTTTTCACGTTTCTTCATTTAATTCCGTCCGGTTAAAATTGCCATTTTGAATTCAGAGATTTTTCGTTTTAGATTCAAATTCGGTAGTTTAAAAATATTCCATGGAGCAATTTTCGTGTCGGTTTAACGACATCTTTAACTGAAAGCATTTTTAGTACGCGTAAAACGTATATTTTCTTTACTAAATTTTTAAAATTAAATATTACGTTTTCAAAAATTTCTCGCTCTGATCCTCGTTGCGGATCTTCTTATTTGCGTTAAATGGAGATTTGTTAATATCGCCGTAATAGCAACGTCGCAGTAGCGTCACCATCTTCTTAGGTGACATTATAGGATTGATACATCGTTGCGCAAATTGATTCGCCTCCCAGTCCCCCCTTGTTCGCGTTCTCGCAGACACTCCGAATAAGAGGAAAAATGAAGAGCTTCTTACTGTGAAAATTATTACAGTACCGCCGGAGCAGCTTAGCATATTGGACGAGGACGGAAGGTCTCATATTCCCCATTACATCCTTGGCCCGTACAGCGAAGGAGCGTCTCTCAATATCACGTGTGTCGCCGCCGGTGGTAAGTGCATGACGCGCCGATGCACTTCCGTTGCATTCGCCTTCTATAACGCTCAGGCGGCATGTCGTTGTCACGACTTATACAGTACTTGAGTTACGTAAAATAAATGCGGCTCGATTTCTTTGACACTTCAAGCGAATGTATTACACGTGGTCCCCGCGTTTTGAATTTCGAATAGAGATAACGCCTTCGGAGATGAAACAAAGTATATAAATATCGAATATTGGAAAATAAAAGGCAAAGTATCTTGGTGCTGTAGAAAATTTGGTGAACATGTTTTAATCATTGGCTACCAAATGTCGACAGAATTTTGTAAAATTATATAAAAATCATTTGCAACATTTATTGCTTGTTTTAATTTGATAGTAAAAATTCTTTTTTATTTTAGTAATATTTTGTTTGTATAGTAGTACGTTGTCCATGTGAATTTTAAATATATTTTCTTCGCATCAAAAAAAAAATTTTTAGCACTGTTTGTTAGTAAAATATTTTTTTCAAAATATTGTAATTTAAAAAAAAATTTGTTTTCTTCTGACATACTCTGCGCAACATTTATTTGTTATTCATATTTTTATAATAAATTTGAAATTTTACAAAATAAATAATGAATCTTATGTAATGAATTTACGGTAGAAAAAGTAACATACATACTTTTTTATCAAATAAAAGTAAAAAATCCTATTTTTTTTACTATTTGTTCTATATTAAAGTATAGAAATAATATCTCTATATACTAGAACACTAGATAGTGACAAGTGATGCGATGTATGTGTATTTCCTTCTCAAATTGAAAATAATTACTCTTCATTAAAACGAATGGCAATCAAATTCTTTCGACAATAGCATAAAAAAGTGTATGTTTAAAATATAATTATTTTATAAAAGATTAATAGGCGACCACGTTCTTTACTACGCTATTTTGAAGTGTCAAATTACATTTTCTTAGAAACGAGCAATTTTAACGTCACTAAAGAGATTTCAATTTTCATATTTTTGTCTATACCTATAACGAGACGTTAAGTCGAGATGTGATTACACCACCGAGCGGGTGCCATTAGCGCCACGTAGCACCGACGTGTATCCGCCATCTCCGAACCCTTATGTTTCTTCAGGGCGGCCGCAACCACGAGTGACATGGTGGCAGGGGACTGCTCTATTGGACAACAGCTACGAGACCGTGGATGCTAAAAGGGTCCGGAACGTGCTGCAATTGGAAAAGTTGGGCCGCGAACATTTGCGTGCGTTTCTGACCTGTCAAGCCACGAACAATAACATGGTGGCACCGATATCAAGTTCGGTGTCACTTGATATGAATTGTGAGTATCGACAGATAAAGAGATCTTGCGATTACGTTCTAAAAAGCAAGTGAAAAATAACAATTTTATTTAATACATTCAATTCCATTTTACGTGAAGAAAGGAATATGAACAGCAATTTATCATTATTTCTATCAATAATGATTAACGATTGAATAAATCACGATATGATAATATCGTTTACTACGTTATTATTATTTATTATAATAAATATTTATATTAAATACAGTATTAAAAAAGGAAAGAAGAGATACATATAATTATTATATGATTAATTTATTACATCATAAAATGAAAACATACACAATGTCCGGAAATGCATTTTTAATAATTATTAACTTAGTTTATAAATACTATGATTAAATCATCGCTTAAAAATCGTCGCGTATGGATTGTTACAATTTATCTGGAAGGCGTCAGTCGATTCAGTCTTTACTGGAGAAATTTCTATTAGCTTCACGACCCATGCGCGGATCGATGGGTGCTTAAATCCGAGTGTGACACACTCTTTTACAGTGAAACCGCTCTGGGTCCGGATTCAAGGAGAGAACCGTCCACTTAGCGCCGGCAAGACCTACGAGATAGGTTGCGAGGTTGTCGGAGCCAGACCGAGCCCGACGATCACGTGGTCCAAAGGGAACATGATACTGCGAAATGCACGGGAAACGGTACGATTTAAAATACATTGTCGACGATTTAATGCATTCTTGTAAATCATATGTATTGGCACGTACTTGTCCCGAGAACTCTCCTAAACGTTTCTGTGATTATTTTTTCATTTATTCTCTCATGTTTGAAAAATTGATAGAATTGCATCAGTGCGAAAAGCTGCTTCGAGCAATAAGCAAATTCTTTACAAACGCATCGCACTTTCATGATGCATATAGTTTGTTTTGCACAGCTGCATAAACCAATTATTTATTAATATTAACTAAGAAATACAAAGCTGCAACAAAAGAAAATTTTTGTATAATTATCATTGTAATTGCTAATTGTTAGAAGTCGAAATTTGTAAACATAATTTATTTTTATTTATTTTTATTATTAAAATTAATGCATTTGTTTTTTTGTGTTTATTTTTAGTACTTTTTCAAAAATAGTTTCACTTCAAAAACATCACGCAATCTGTATTTTGTCCGATATGACAACTCTTTGAGATGCGAATAATTGGCGCCGTAATTGGCTAGTATAGGTCCAATATCGGCGTAATCATTGTCATCCAGCAACTCTAATCTGATCACGACGACGGCGAATGTGTATGCATATCGCGATTATTAAATTATTTGGTAAACTGTTTTAAATTCATGAAATCTCGCCGGCAGACGAGTCCCGACGGCAACGTAACAACCAGCATCCTCACATTCGTGCCGAGTATCGAAGACGCCGGAAAGTTCCTCTACTGTCGCGCCAGCGTGCCCGATATTCCAGACTCGGAGATGGAGGAAGGATGGAAGCTCAATATATTCCGTGAGTGTTTTCACAGAAACGCACCGGGGGTGTCCCCGCAATTTCACGTCGCGTATGCGACCGCACAGTAGAAAACTTCCATCAATGTAATATTTTTACAAGCACATTGCGCATGCATGCCCCGCCATACATATGTTCTATAAAGTCAACATTAAAATTTCAATCGAGAATTTACTTCTCTAAACCGTTCTTTGTACTTCGGATCTCCTCACTATCGACGGATTGTTTGCGTAAAACGCAACAACATTTACCGTTGGGATCAAGTCTAGCTACATCGTAGCGGTTACGTTACTTCATTTTAAAAAGATCGTAACGCTGGATAGCAATAGATTCCTTGGTTGAGCTGGTTTTGTTCTCTAATAATAAAAAATTATTATTAAAATATTTTAATATCGAGAATTAAAGGAAACTTGTAAATTCTAAGATTCAAAAATATAAATAAGAATAATTTTGCTTCATTTAACATTAATATTGATTTAAGATTTAAATGGCAAGAATTCGAAATTGATGAAAAAATTTATCTTTAATATTAATGGATACTATTATTCATTATACTATGGATATTACACAGATACAATTAGGAACTTTGTTGTAATAACAAAGTAAACTTGCACTATACAAATATTAAAAAATAGTTTTACAACTATTTACTTTCTAAAAAGCAATCACCAAGCGGCAAGTTATTCAGGAAGAATACACACTAAAATAGAAGTACGCAAATTATTTCCTTAAAATGTTAAATGATTTAGTATAATAATTTTATTTTATTTAGTAAAAATATTAGAAGAATTAGAAGTATTAGAAGAGAGAGTAAGGCTGCGGGGTTCATAATCCATCAACCAATAAGTGATCTTTAATAAATAAATAAAAAGAAGACATTTCCAATCAACATTACTGCTATTAATTTCGCGATTGACGAAAACTTTTTTTCAGTCGTGCCAAATGTTCCGACTTTCCTCGGTTCCATCGTCATCGTTATCGATACCCGAACCGTTTACACATTCGACAGTTTTCGTTTGGACGCATTCTTTCAAATTTATCGGCACGCGGGGGTGATCGAGGTCCAACGGTCGTGTCGTCGGCGGATGTCGATGCCGTCCGCGCCGCAGTCCAAATTGCACCCCCTGGTGCAACTTTCCGACGCCATTAATACGCAAAGTTGCAGGACGAATCGCCGCGAAGCGTCGCAGTCCGACGTTGCAGCTGGCCAGGATTTTAACGCCCGTGATTTCACTGTCCAATATAAAAGTTTTTCCTCTATTCGGTCCGAGCGAGAGGGAACGAGATACAGTGAACGGCGGGAGGGGGCGGGGGAGGACAGGGATGAGCGAGAGAGGGAGGAGCTCCGCGTGGAAATTAATGGCACATGCCGATCCGCCGCGCTGAAGATTCAGTCCGATTACGCGCCGCGTATTCCACCACTTCGACTACCTTGGCAGCCCCATTTCCTCGTCTTTCCACGGTTTTTTCCATTAGTCGCGTCCGCTCGTAATTCCACGGGGGCGGGCGGCGCGGGCGGCGCCGGTGGAGCGGGGGACGCGAGGAAATTTACTCTTACTGCGTTTATTGTGAGCGCGAATCGGCGAAACGGTATTTATCGGATTCGCGGCGGCGCTGCCGCGAAAGGAATCATAAGTAACGTTCGATACGGCAATCTATTTTTTTTTGTTATAAAGATAATACCGCGAAACGGATACCGGACGACGGTTTCTCAATGGGAAAATGCGCCGGCACTCGATGCGGTTGACCATTTATTTACGAGAATGCTGAAAAACGTATCTGCGCCGCGGAGTTGTATTATTAACGAAACCGTTTTGAATATTTTGACAAAACGATAACTTTGTTACGAAAAAGAAAATAATCTGTTAATCGATAAATCAATTTTTTTTTAATGATTTTTTTTTCCAACAATTTCCTATTATTCGAATCACACGTATAAAGATTTAGGAATATTTAGTTCTGAATTTGAATCGAGACTGAAGAGAAAAGTAAACTTAAAATCAATTAGACGTCTAATCACTTTTCCGACCTGACATTTCTCACTGGAATATGCTATGAACTAAGATAAATCAAATAGATAATATTTGTCGATTGGTGAGTCGATATTAGTGTTAAAATGCGCTAAAAGAGAAATTTTAATTTCCCTTTCTAAACATTTATTTTCTTCGTGTTCTTTTTTCTTCTTTCTTGAAGAGATATATAGGCACTATAATAACGTCAATTACTATAATTAAAGCGTCTCTCATATTGGCACATTTCGCGCGTTTCAGCTTTGATGTTGATTCTGTTTTCAGACGAGCCTGTGGTTACCCTCGAGCTTGGCAGCAATTTGAATTCGAGCGCTATTCGGGAGGGTATCGACGTTTACTTCGAGTGCAACATCAAGTCCAATCCCTGGGTTTACAAGGTTTCCTGGCGCCATAACGTGAGTCCACATACAGCACGCGCACCGCACGGGGCGCAGATAACGAATCCCGTTCAGAAATCGATAATATAAGCCGACGAAGCTTAATCGCGCCGAGATAAGGGAACGACGGGCGCGCACCTGCGTCACACGAACTTCCGTCCGAAAACTCGCGCGTTTGATCTCGGATTCGCATCGCCCGTAACACTGCGCAGGGCGCATATAAAGCGGACACTTTCCTCGTGCGGTAATTAATCTTCGAAGAGCAGCTAGACTTTAGAAATTTCCTCACACACTCGGAAACTTCTCACAATCACTTTGCATTTTAAGGAAAGTTGTGTAAATCTCCTTGTCTCAAATTAGACCCTCCATGATTGAGACAACATAACTTTTAAACGGTCGAATACGCATGTGAATCGATTGTCAATGATTTTTACGTTTTTAATTTAAAAAATGCTGAAATACAAATTTTGAAAATTTTAAAAAGCATTAGCAAGGAAATCAAATGTGATGGATGTGACTTATCGCCAAATGTTATATATTTATAAGATATTTACCATATATATTACACTACAATATAATATTTTCAAAAAATTTATTTCTATATACGTAAAGTTTTTTTTTAATTATTTTATTAATATTTCTATGTTCTATTTTGTGAACTTATAGGAGATAAAAGCTAATGTTTGAGATGTGTTGTAGTGGCGTTTCTTTCAAAATTGATTAATAAGCACCGCGTGCATATAAAAACGATTCCTCTTTACTAATATCAGAATAATCCGCGTGTTTGATGCGAGATTTCCAATGCGAATCTCGCGCGACCCGAATATCGGAATATCCGCGCCGAGTGGTAATTCATTTGGCATCACGTCGCTTTGTCCGAATTTATTCTAAGCCGCTTGAGTACGCAATGTTTTTCTTCGCTATTAGGATGATTCGCGTGATTGATATGGGACGGAAATAACAGCGTGGATCGAAACTGCAGATATAAATCGAAGCATTTTATCAGCGATTAATAAGAATGCCATTCGTCAGTGCCCGAATATGTTTTAATCCCATCGTCCGTTTTGTCTTTATCCATGATAAAGTCATAGGCGCGATTGATTTGGAACTGATGGCACAGCATGAATCATACGTATAAATCAAGATATCGCCTGTCGCAATTAAAACGGCCGGGGAAAAGCAATTGCATTCAGTCATCCTAAATTTATTTTTAATCCTACGATACAAAACGTAGCTTTTACCGCCATCGAAATACATACCTATTCACGGCATTTAATAGTTATCAATTTAAAACGAATGGGAACATTTTTTCAAACAAATATTTTAATCTCTTTTTTAAACGAATTTTTTAAACGTTGTTTTTTTCAAAAATTGCTTAATTTTTAATATTATGTATTTTAGAAAGGACTACAGAAAGAGAGAGAGTTCTATTAAATTAAAAAGTTTAATTAATATAATTAAGTAGATATATTAAGTAGATGAATTTATTGATTAAAAACTTGTAATTTTAGAAATTATTAATTGACATTACTTGTCAAGAAAAAAATCGCTTGTAGACAACAAATCGGAAAATACTTATGATTAGGTACAAATTTTGATTTATCGGTGACAAATGTATCCCCGAGATAAGTCAAAGATAAAAAAGTAATACATATATCGAAGGAACATATATATGTTATAACATTAAAGTTATTGCGGCGCACTTCGAACTTTGATATCCGTTCGAGCCAATTTCGGTGGCTCTTATCGCGAACGAATGTCGTATACGCGGAAACACCGCAAAACGCAAATCCCAATCAATTCCCTCGATTCAAAGACTCGAAATTTGTTTCGCGAAAACTCAAAGCCGCTTTCGCAGTCTCGAAAGTCGCGCATGCGACGAGGGAACGCGAGAGATCGAAAAACTGTCAGCGTTCCTCGTTGCGAATTTCTCATGCGGGATTTATTATAGCTTAGCCCGTGCGAAAAAAAAACAAAAATTTTATTTGCATATTTTTTTATACCTAATATCGCGCGTATTAAGTGTATAATTTAGTTACACATTTTTAATATTTATTAGTATAAAATGTTCATTGTTTACAGTTGCTGCCAAAAATGTTCGATCAATATATAATTTTTATCGTTTTATAAATACATATTGTAAATTTCTAATTGTATCAACATTGTGGATTTTATTGCTTATTTAAAGTTGAAAATGTTAAAATTATTTATACGTGATATAATATATTTAATAATTTTCAACACAATAAACTTATTGGCCGGGAATTTTTGGCAGCCACCGTATATTTTACCAGTGTTGCCAGTTATTTCAAATTTTTTAATTAGGAAATAAAGAGTGTTCTGATCTCTTTCTTTTTTCTTCTTTCAAACGTACCTTTCGATTTGCCAAACATTCCTTGCACCGGCTTAAATAGTACATTATTTGCAATCTGAGCTGTGTTTCGCGAGTTGGCTCGTAGCATCCGAATAAGCGTAACATGGCCTTGTGTGATTTCGCAGGGCAATCCGCTGTATCATAACCTGGCAACCGGAACGATAATAAGTAATCAGAGCCTGGTGCTGCAAAGTGTCACTCGCAGCAGAGCTGGGATTTACACGTGCATCGGCAATAATCAAGAGGGCGACGGCGAGAGCAATCCACTGAACTTGGACATAAAGTGTGAGTATCCGTTGCACGTATATACGCACGCACACGTACACACTTCCCGCATTTCCCGTCACTCGCCATAATCTACATTGACGCTCTAATTAAGTTAAATTATTCTCGGATTATTATTCATGACAGTCGCGCTCGTATTTAGATTCAAATAGAATACGTACGTTTTTTTTTTTTTTTTCAATCGATTACTTTTACTCGAAGCACATAGTATAGCTTTAGAAAATCTTTTCAACATATATTTCTCGTAAATGTTCGGAACGTACGCTCAAAATTTTACTTTACATAAATTCGCAAAAGACGGAATCGCTTGCGAATCAGAATGAAAATCTTTCTAAATTCGTATTTAGAGAGAGAAACGGTCCTTCGCTCTTTTTACATCTCCAGCAGAGATTTCGGAGTTTGTATAATACGAAATTTCTCAGCGTGCCGTATCTATCGACCGGGAAATGACGGTTTTAGCCGAAAAGGGAACGGTGGGAACGGCGCGCCGCGCTACGTCGTCCTTCGAATCTAGAGTCTCTCCGGACCAGACGCTAGAGTTAATTTCTGTGTCACTGCATTCACCGCACCCTGGCACGTAACTGATACTGACACACCGGTATGCGCGGATCGACGCTAAATCAGCTTAGGGGTATGCGCTTTGTTTACGAGGGGGCATAAATCCAGGGGGCGTAGGAGGAAAACGCCCGCGCATTCGGAGCCGGGCGCCGGGCGAGAGGTCTCGGCTTCATATCGACGTTTAATATCACGACATCGCCCACTATAAAAGAAAACAAGGTTTCATAAAGGTTCCGAAGGAGCGGAGCGCGCCGGCGACCGTAAGGCAATTTCGTATGCACGCGTTAACTTAAACACCATAAGTAAGTTTCGACAGCTTTTTCAACGCGTTATAAAAAGGATTACAAACTCGATATTAGTTTCAAACGTTATGAGTTATAAAACTCGAGATGCGAATATAACAGCAAAATTTGTTGCGTAAGTAGTTAAGAGATTTTATAAGAAAACGAATAAATGCACAGATCTGACGAAAATAATATTTTGATCATCTCGCGTCTTAGATTAAAAGAATAAGACTTTTTCCATTTTTCTCATCTATCTTATCTAAAAGTTGCAGTTGACCATCGATGTGATTTTTTTTTTTATAAAACCTACCTTTTAGCAATCATTCATAGATTACACAATATTTCATTGGATATAACGAAATAATACAAAATTCCTGCTAGATTTTAACGAGAAATATCGCCGTCTTCGCTGCACGATTCGCCAGGAATTTATTACGGTGATATATGCACGTTGGTCTGTTTTTGTATTTTCTAAGCAAAATGCCTTTCGCCGTGTAGAGTTCAGCGAGCAGTAAATCACTCTAAATGCTTTACATACGTAGGAACATATGCACGTACGCGACAGCCCTACCTTAAGTCTGTGTGTAACTTACGACTGACTGACATACGCCACCGTTTATATAGCAGGTGCGCTCATCAGTATTTAGTGGCTTTAATGCACATAAATTATCTACGGCTAATCCGTGCACGGATTAATAGTTGATCAGTACTCCATCCTTCTCTCTCGCTATCTTTTAATCATAATATATGTATAGGTCGTCTATACTAATAAAGGTTTATTTAACGAATAATTAGACAGGACAATTTTACCAAAACTAGCCTCGATACGTGAACTTAAGTAAACTTTAGCAAAGAAAAGATATTATTCTAAGAAATCAAAAGAAAGAAAAATATTTAAAAAATTACACTTATAAAAATAATATGTGTCGAGGAGTATTTAAACATTTTTTTTATTTAATAGATATGTTTAAGAGCAGTGACACAAAATTTTATTTTCAAACGTATTGCAAATACTTATATTATATTTGTATTATTTAACTAAACAATTTGTTTGTTAAATAGATTTATTTAAGAGCGTTGATAACAATTTGTTTTCAAATTTATTGGAAATATATTATATTTGTTTTATTTTCTATTAAACAAACACGTTTAATAGACTTGTTTTAAAAGCAATGATAAAAATTTGTTTTCAAACATATTGAAAATATATTATATTTGTATTATTAACTTCATAAAATTTTGAATCTAAAAGAAATAGGTTATGAAGACTGTCCATTGAATTCCGTACCGATTTGAATTACATTGGTAAGTTGAAGTACGATTAATGGAATTTTTTATCATTTCATCGCTTTATGAATGCAATATCAACGAAATCCGTCTTTATCATTTAATTACCGTTGCAGGATGTCTCCGGTCTAAAGCTTTAACTGAAATTGCCATGTCGTGCTAATCTTCCCTAGTCCTTTCTGTTGAAACAGCATTATATTAAAATAGATTTTATTTTTTTCAAAGAGAGGTAGGTAGGTACACGTCGGTGAAGATGTCGTCCGTCATCAAAACGAATTCACATCTCGCGAAAATTTCACTGTGGATGCGTGTGCGCGCATGCATCTCGTCGCGTCGAGGCTCCGCCATGAAAACTGCGCAAAATTTCGCGTATAATTATACTCACGACTATATTGGTTTAAATAACCCTTTTGGCAGGGTAAACGGACGAATTCTCGTGAACGTCGAATGTTCCCCGTATAATCCGTATTTTCTTTGTTCCCCCGGGCTGCAGCCTCGCTATTTTACAGCTAACTAAGCGGCTTAAGATCCCGGATACGGCAGAGCCCGAAGGAGGAGCTTCTTGCCGCGCGCATAATTATACGTGCTGAAACTGAATTAAAATCTTAAGCTACGTTACTCGTACACGCACACGCGAATTCGCAGATTTTCTCGGACAATGTACGTTTGCCCCTATGTTAAAATTCAAGCTAAAAGCTCCATCTGAAATTATGCATATTTGCGAGAAGGGTGTTTGTACACATAATACGCGTTTCACACGTAATTTTAAAAATATTCATCTAACACCTTTGAGGAAAATGATAATTCGGATAAAGGAGAGAGTATTTGGCTCGAAGAAAAATTAGTTTAATCTTCTAAAAATGTCGCTCTGTGAATCCAAATAAGTCAAGCCGATTAGAAATATTATTATAAGACAATGGCGGTCCAGCAGATAAATTTGTGATTCTAATTACTGTTGGGGCAATGTACATTAAAACAGAATACGTATAACGCTTGTAACTTGTTAGATAATATTAAAATTAAAAAGTAACTTAAATATTGACAGCGAAAAATTGGGCAATGCGAAATACTCGCGAGTTTCTTTTTTTTTTAAATATTCCAACTGCGTTTTCTGGACACGATATATACATGCTTAAAAAATTCACCGATCCGCAATGCGTCTCTCTAACGCGATCACGTGTAACGTTTTCGAAGTACGTTGCCTTTAGACGAATCGATACTAACTCACAAAGCGAAGATTGTCGACGACTGAATCTTTGCTCGATTTTCATATAATTGCATTTCTGCCCGAGGAATTCGAGCTTCCGTGAGTATCGTACAAATTACAAGGCAAGCATCGTCGATAACAACCGGTAATTAATGCACCGAGCCTAAAAATTCTGCCTCCGTACTGCCCGCTCGTTGAAGTTAACGCCGCACTTAATCGGAGAGTTTTAAACTGGAACGCAGCGATTACGAGCGATAACAGTAATTAGCCGAGAGCGACTGGTCGACAACTGGCTTACATATGTAAGCTTAATATTACTCTAGATTAAGATTAAAAAAAAGCGAAATTATATGTGCATGTTGTACGTTGCACAGCATTACACGCGGTGAAACGTGATACGCAGCATTAATAAAATTTTGCGCAAGGGAAGAATAATGCGACAAAAAACGCGCGGCTCCCGCTCTCTTTTCAAACTTTGAAGGAGGCTCTTAAATATTCAGGAGATACGAGAGGACAGTGATATTGTTTATCCAATAATGAATAATAGATGACACACGACGTGTCGTTTCAGTCGGGAAGATATGCTGACCTATAATGTCAAATATAACTTGTCTCTGTTAGTGAAAAAAAAAATGAGTTATTATTTTACATTACTGTCAAAAGTGTACATTGATCAATGTCGTATGAATAAGATACCGCCAAGAGACTATAGAATTGGTCACAAAGTCACCTTGTCTTTCTCTTTTTTTTTTCACCAGTATGGATAGTTTTATAAAAGAAACGGATTGTAATTATCTTTGTATCGGATCATCGAAATTACTTCTTGCACTGCAGGATTATAATAACACTCCTTATGAGCCGGGCACGCAAAGTTCCTTGGAGCGATCTCATTTTCTTACGTCGTATACAACGCGGTCTCGCAAAACGAGCGGTGGCACAAACACGCGGCCGACATAGCCGCGCGCAAAATAATCCAGGACGCTCAAATAGAAATTGCGCGATTAATACTTAATTACACGTCGCGGCAATTTCGCGCGCTTATATAGAAACCACCGCACTTTTGTGAACTCACGTGAATTCCACGCGAGAAAGAAAGAGAGAGAGAGACTTTAATGCGAATGAAATATTAAACTCTTTTATTTAGCGCGAATATAAATCGAACGGTAAGAAGGAAGTAGCGTAGAGATTTCGTCCTTATTAGGCGATTTTTCTCTCGGCTTGGAGCTACTTTTCTCAGAATCTCTTTGTTTTGGGTGATTCATTATTCCGACATGATATACAGAAAGCGTCAAAAATTATAATACGAGCAAGCAAGAGATGGCGTCTCTTGCAAAAGTTAAAGTAGGTTCAGAATGGATTGAAATTCTTCGTGAGTGTTGCATTTTTGAGAGAAACAAGGTAATCTCTATTATTCACAATTTATCACTCTCGATATATTTTGTTAAATTATTATCTATATATAAAACTTTATGAAAAACCTCGTCCAATGATGAAGGCCCATATAAGGCGTGTTAATTAACGTACGTCAAACACTGTGTGTTTTGATCAAAATTACATATAGGTAATAAGTATTACAGGTACGCCGGGAAAACTTTGGTGTAATATACCACATGTACACACGCGGCGATCTAACGACTGGCGACTACCATCGTGATATGGTAAAA